TAGGGTTCATGGGTAGATATAAATGGGGTTCTAAGTAGGGTAACTATACTTATAATCCTTTTTAGGGGACTTAACCCAACTTAAAACTACCCATGAACCTCCAAGTAGAGCTCTGTTGTTTTCGGAGGCGGATTCGTGATGAACCCGCTCACCCCCGCATTCGTGCCGGAGGCATGGCCCATGTCGGAGGGCTTTTTTTCGCTTGTCACCAGCGCCTCGCGAGGCTCAGCGTGTGCAACACCAATGTGTGCGAGGCGAGTGCAGATGTCTTGCTTAGACCCAGTCTCAGCTTCGGTGTCGAGTGCCAGGACATCCACCTGAGCAAAGGATGCTGATGGTCGCGGGCACAGTTCTGCTGCGATGAGCCATCACTCTGAAAGAGGCCTCACAAAGCAACAGATTGTCTTCTGCTGCACACGACCGCGATCGCGATCAAGATGATAGTACAGCTGTTTTACATGGCTATGTGTCGAAACACTCCCTTCGAGTAGCGTCCAGAACGCGGATCGACATGAATGTTTAAACTATACTGATGCTGATAATACTCACGAGACATTCTTGATTTTTCCATGAGAATGCTTTTATCTACATGAGCCTCGTGCTCGTCCTCATTCTCATGCTCATTCTTGGCCGTCTCATCCTGTCAAAGTGTCGCCACCGTCATCGTCATCATCATCATCATCATCATCATCATCCTCCTCCTCATCATCATCATCATCCTCATCATCCGCCAACACTATACCGACGATGTTTTTGTTCCGTAAGGTTTCCATTTAAGGGCGTAGGATGCTTGGGTTGCTTAGTGCCTCGGGGTGCCGCAGTGCAGTTCATTTGTATCATGCCACTTGCGTTGTCCCCAGCGGGACCCCTAAACCCTAAACCCCTAGACCCCTAAACCCCTAAACCCTAAACCCCTAAACCCTAAACCCTAAACCGTGAAACCGTGAAACCGTGAAACCCTAAACCCTAAACCCTAAACCCTAAACCCTAAATCCTATGACCATTCCGAGGCGACTTGCCCAAGTAACATCCCATCTTCCATGTCGGGCTCTCAGTCGCTGGATGTTGGGGCTTACTTGGAGGATCATAGGACTTAGTAAGTAAGGTTTAGGGTTTAGGGTTTAGGGTTTAGGGTTTAGGGTTTAGGGTTTAGGGTTTAGGGTCCTTGGAGGATCATGGGACTTAGTAAGTATGGTTATGAGTCCCTTAATTGGGGTTA